ATTGAAATATGTAATCTCACAAAAGGCTGTGTAAATGTTATGTTTTGATTTATTTCACTTTGTAGCTTTCTTAAATATTTTCTGCCTTGGGCGTTATGGGGTTTGTAGTAAAATGGCCTTGGAAAGTGAGAGGAACTTGATGTTCCCACGGGACTGCCTGATTTGAAAGCTGCTTTTTCTCAGAGGCTTTTAGTTCAGATGCAGTGTTTAGGCTAATCTTAGCAGATTGTGCAGGTGCACACCTCTTCAGGAATACAGCTACAAAAACGGTCATCCAGAAGCTGATTTGAGTTTGCATAGCTTGGTAAGTTGAAAATAAGGGAGAACAGCCCAATCTCTTAAACCTGCTGTGACGTTGTGTTTTGAATGTTATCTAGTTTTCAAGCTTAAAATTTTTCATCTACAACTTACTGCACAAAAGAGGAATATTAGTAAGCATGGAAGCTATCTATTCAGAATTCTGTTGATGAATTGTCTGAGAAATGTGAAATCTGTTCTGGAATACTTAAAGCCCAGTATGTATTACTGAAAGAATTATGAATTTTAATTAACACATTTTAAAAATGCCATGCAGTCTTTGCAAAAGGTGTTACAGTGGTCTTACCTTTCTTTTCCAGATATTCTAGTAGTTGTTATCCCAGTTTAGAGCTAGCCAGGGCTTTTAAGAATAAATCACAATGAGGGCCAAACAGTAAACGGGAGTAATGTCTGAATTAAAGTTGAAGGGTGAGTATGGTATAGGTTGTGATTATTAAATTAAGTCAAACCAACAAACATTTTATTTTTTTTTCAAACACTATTTAGCATTCTGTTTATTTTGATTGTAGGTATCTATTATCCCTCGTGGTAAAGGACTGGGTTATGCTCAGTATTTACCCAAAGAACAGTATCTTTATACCAAAGAGCAACTACTTGACAGAATGTGCATGACACTGGGTGGACGTGTATCTGAGCAAATCTTCTTTGGAAGAATTACAACCGGTGCTCAAGATGACTTGAAGAAGGTGACACAGAGTGCATATGCTCAGGTATATGCTTGAGTAATACTTATTTTTCTTATTGTTTTCCTTTTCTACTGCTTAACACTAATGTTTGTAAAGGATGTGATTTAATCACGTATGTCAAAAGCCTACCTCAGTAAAAGATTATGTGACTAAACATTATGCTGCTGTTGTATGGAGATGCTGATGACTCAACTATTATATTGTAGTCTTGCAGTGAGCTGATTGCTATTCTCCACCCTGTAGATGAACATGCATGCTGCACTGCATTCAAATACATGTGGGAACTCTACTTAAAAAATTAGTTTACTGCATATATCTGATTCTCCGATACTGCTTCTAAAGTTGCTCAGTTTGAAGACCCAATTGGGATTGACATGTATATGTAAATCCAGAAAACCTTGTACTTGGGCACTATTTGCTGTCGGTTAAGACATTTTGTACCATATTAACTTAGCACAGCTAAGTGATATGAAATCTTAAGAATGTAGTGACTCATCTAACTGCAGCTCTGTACTGTGTAGATGCTTATTCTTGTTCCTGCATCAACATAAAAGCTGTCATTTGATAAGATGCTTGCAAGGTGAGCAAGAGAGGCATTTTAGATGAGATCCTCTTCCCCTTTACAGCACGTTGCCCTTATCCTCCACTCCCAAACCACACCAATTTGCTGGTCTTTGGTAAATTGCTTATTTTCTCAGTTCTGGAAGTTTAACATTTAATGAAATGCTTGGCAGTGCTAATTTTTATCTGGCCATCAGTGTCTCTTGTTCAGTTTTAAATAGAAAATAGTAAGCATAGACTTACATTTGATTAAGCATATTGTCTCCAGAAAGGTCTAGAACCCTGAAAAAAAGATTGGAATTTCTCTTCAGCAGGTTTAATGACTTCCTAATTTCAATTCTGTCTACCAGATTGATATCAATATATCCTAAAATGTCACCATCTCCCCTTTACTTTCAGATTGTCCAGTTTGGTATGAATGAAAAAGTTGGGCAGATTTCCTTCGACCTCCCTCGTCAAGGAGACATGGTATTAGAGAAACCCTATAGTGAGGCAACTGCCAGAATGATAGATGAAGAAGTTCGGTCACTTATTAACATTGCTTATGAGAGGACATTATCTCTTCTGACCGAGAAGAAAGCAGAAGTAGAAAAGGTGAGTATTGTGATGGTTTTCAGGCACCAGCTTATAAGTTAGAAGCCAAATTCTCTTTGCTAAAATGTTCAGTATTCATTTGTGAAGTTGGGGAGAACTGTCTACCTGCTAAAGTAGGTGTCAATAGATGTACTAGACCAGAATGAAGAGGGGGGAAAAAAAAAGAAATAACAAAGCAAAGAATAAAAACAAAAAATCACTACCACACACACAAAAAAACAACAACAAAAACACAATACCTAACAGTCAGTACAAAGGTTCTAAATGATTAGGCTGGAAGAAGATCTCTAGGAAAGGAGGTATGCAATATTTCCTCTATCTGAATTATTTTTGAAATTCCTTCCATGTGCATGGGTTGCTTGAGATCTGCCTTGCTGCAGTTGAGGCAACCCTTGCGCGTGTTCTTTTCCTCCTTACCAGAAAGCCCAGTACAGCAAACAGGTCACTTTCCAGGATGGGCACCTGTCTGCTTATTGACAAGAAGAAAGTTTTGTATGGATTTGGTAAATGGCATTTTAGTAGATCATTGTTTTCACTGAATGCTCACTGACCCACGAAGGTTATGAACTACACATGTGCTTTATATACATTAGTATTTTACACTGCTCTGTCTAGCTCATAACATTTGGCAAAGAATACTTGTTTGGATCTATAGCTTAATGCATTGCATCAGGAGCCTTTTGGCAGCAGAGAAAGATTTGTTCTAAAGTAACAAGTAACAGTAGCAGTGCCCATAGAGTGTTTTGCCAAGCCTTTTAAGTAGGATTTGAAGAAAAAGATACGCTGCATAAATTCTGACAAAAGGAAAATTGGGTACTAAGTAAACTCTGAGCACCTTGTTTATTTTATCAAATTTATCTGTGTTGAATTAATGTTGTCCCAGACTGCCTTAAACTCCTGTGAGAAGAGAGACAACTGATGGTACTCTGTGTGACATAACTTGCTGCTATTGCAGGTTGCCCTACGACTACTGGAGAAGGAAGTGCTTGATAAAAGTGATATGGTAGACTTGCTTGGCCCAAGACCATTTGCAGAGAAGTCCACTTATGAAGAATTTGTTGAAGGGACGGGAAGTTTGGATGAGGATACTTCTCTACCAGAAGGCCTTAAAGACTGGAACAAAAAGCGTGAAAAAGAGAAAGAAGAGACAACAGATGAAGAGGTTGTTAGGCAGATCAGAGGAGGGATGCCATTTTAACTGCCAAGTGTGTGGTGATGCTGACTTGCACTCTGGAAGAGAAATAAACTCACCTAGTTTGTACTTCCAAAACAAACAAATATTTATTCAACCAAACTGTATTAGAGATGGATGGAAAAGTGGTGTCTTGTGCAGAGACAAAGATATTCTACTCCCAGTATGTGGTATCATCAGTTCACCGGTAAAAGATCATCCTTCATTTGTCAGCTGAAGAAACGTACCTTGGATTTGAGCTGCGGTGGAATCCAGAACTGAACCTCCCAAACACTGAAAGAACTGAGATTCATGCACAAACTTCATGGCACTGGTCTCTTTTTTTTTTTTTTTTTTTTTTTTTTGAAATGTATGTAGGCTTACTAAAAAGAAATAAATAATTTTGATTATTCATCTAAAATATACCTGTATGTGATTTGTTTCCAAAAAAATCACAGAAAAATGCATTGTTGTATGCTTGGCCAAAAGTCTGGTCTTGCGAAGTGTAACTAGCTTTGCAAAAGTGTCAGCTTTTTGATCTGATCCTCCTTTACCCCACCCTTCATTTTGATTTTTAAAAGGAGTTGTTTACAAAGAACAGTCAAGTAAATTGACCGTACAACTGGACACCCAGTCAGATATCTTAAAACGTACTCATGGTTCAGTCTGGAACTTGCTCCTGCAGTTTTACTGGTCAAGTTTTTTACGGAGTTCTGTAAGATATTGAACATATGAATGTGTTGTGTAAATACAGTTTGAGTCAATAAAATCAGTACTTTTCTGAACAAAGTTTGTTTTTTCTTTTGCCAATTTCTTGATAACCGAATTCAGTCTAGTACGAAACTTCCTGAGTTTAAACCTTTGGTAAATTAGGGTAGCAAAATTGTGCTCTCACATTGCAAAAGCAGCCATTCCAAAGGTACTAAACCAGATTGTCTGAGTTTCATACTGGTTCGATTAATCTAAAGGTAGCAATTCTCTCTGCTTAATTTAATACATTGGTCTCAGAGTAGTAATCAGCGTTGGTTTACCTGCTGTGTGCCAAGAGTGTATTTGTTGGAGAATTCAGCTGTTGAAAAGATAACTGACAGTCTCCCTGTCCCAGAAAAAGGGAGGGAGCATGATCTGGGGAGGGTGAGGGGTTGGGTTCTGTTTTGTTTTTCAAGAGGAGGGAGAAGGAACTGAACTTCTCTACTAGATAACATTCTTTAAGGCTTAACAGAGGGCATGTTAAGGGACTAATCAGTGATAGATTCCAGCTGCATGTTGCAACATGTTGGAAAAGCAGGATGGTAAGGAAAGAAGGGTCTATGAAAGGTCAGACTAACTGCCTGCCTGAGTTACTTGAAGCAAATTGTTTATAGAAATGATTTTTTTTCTTTTTTCTTTATTTTTTCCAGTGATGAAGGTGTTGCTATTGATGATGTCCTCCTTCATTGCAAGCCAGGTAACAAGGGACACAGGGCACAGTAACTTAGGACTTTTTTAGTCATTAAGCAGCTGTTGTGTGCTCCCATTGAATTCCTTGTTGTAGAATGAATATTTAGGAAGACACCCTGAATAAAACTAAACTTCAATTCCTGTATTACTGGTGTTAAAAGTTTAGAATGAATGATTTCTGCAACAGTAAACTTTCGTTTTGTCTGAAACGTGATTTGACTAATAAAAGGTAGATTTACAGAGCTTTTACTGAAGTTTAGGCATGATCACAAGATTGCTGATCCATTAGGAGAACAAGAGGGAGAGAGCCTCCCTTCCCCCATTAAAATGTGCAGCAGTTTCTGTACAATTTGCAATAAAAAGTTAGCAGATGTATCGAATGTACTACTACAACAGTTTTGACTGCAAATCTCTTGCTCTTACTTCCAAGCAGAGCTGCTGGCGCAGAAACAGGTGCAGATCTTGGGTTGGCTCCAGTCCTCTGTGTTCATCTCCCTAGACTTCACCGAAGTTGCTTCAGGACAAGATTGTTGTGTTTTTGTCACTTAATGAGTTTGTTGCTCCCAGTGCATCCTGTGACAGTGCTCGGGGCAGCATTTACAGCTCTGCAGAGACTGAGCATCAAGTCCTAGCTGTTGGGACAGTTAACTCCATCCTCATGTTTGTGAAACTTCCATCAGGCAGACATGGCAAAGTAGCAACCAGTTTATTTGCATGTAGCTGTACTTACTGCTGTTTGTTTGCCTCCCTATTTCCCATCTAGTGGAACACGTCTTTTTTCTGTTTCTCACAGGCAGTTTGTAGCCAGTGCTGAGGACTAAATGTAGTTACATTGTAGAGGTCTTAATATCCTCATTCCTTATTTGATTCTTCCTCAAACAAGCAAATGAAGAGACAAAACAAAAAACAAACGAACAAAAAAAAAACCAATAAACAAAAAACAAACCCACAAACCATGGCCATATTCCCAAAATATCCTAAGTGAACTCTTTGGGGTGTTACCACCTGCCTGCAAAAGAAGTATCTCTCTGAGAAGTTTTCTCTTACTCCATTTGTTCTGTCTACATGTGTAGGACTTAAATTCCACTCACGTTTAATTGCAGCATAGTTCATAAGCTTGTGAGACTGTAAGGGATACGGAAGTTCCTTTGCCTCTATTATTTTAGAGCATCAACTTACTTTGTGTAGTCTTACCTTGATAAGTTTTAGTATTTTGTGCCAAAAGTGGCAGAAATGTGCTGTGCCAGCATTTTGGATTCAAAACAAAGCCATGAAAACTAAATTAACCATCTGCCTAACCTGCTCCTTTAAAGAGGATGGTTAGCCTGCTCACAAATTTGAGACTTCAAAGTTTAGTCTGTGGTGTGGCTGCCAGTAAGGTCAGATTGTGTTTGTATGCAAATATTTAGCAGTGCTACTTCAACTAGTAGAGGCTTGCGCAGCATGAAGGGAGCTGAGCCTTCTCTGTTTGTCCTACTGCTGGGAAGAGGAGCAGGTCTGGCCCTCTTCCAGCCTTGACTTTGTTCACAGGAGGTGACCACCTTTTCCTAGTGAGAGAAGTGACTTCAAACTAGTGAAATTGAGAGCCTAAAGAGGTCAAAGTAGCTCATGCAGAGACAGTGGCAGAAACTGCCTGAATGCCTTGCTGGCTTTGACCAAAGCATCTTTGCAAAGGACCTGCTCCCTCCAGGTTAGGTGCTTGTTTCTGGCCTGGAAGCACACCTGCCCACTCTGTTTATAAGTGGTATTGATGGTGTAGGTTGTCATCTTTATTTGTGCCTCCCCTTATTCAAATGTTGGCAGAGGTATTTGTGTGTGGGTGGTACTAACACACTGGGGTCTGGTTTGATCTGGCATCGAGCAGCTGTGTATCTTTGTGTGACCAGATGCATAGCAGTAAAAAGGAGAAAATGAAAGCAGACCAGCCATGGGAAGAAAAGGAAAGGGTGACCGAGTTGAAAAACATGGAGGGAAACTGAAAAACGAAAAAAGGAATGTGAAAAAGACAAAGGCAGGACTTGATAGGTAAATTTCAAAAAAAGAGAGAAGTTTTTAGGAGCAGAAAGTAATTATTCAAAAAGAAAGGCAACTGAAAGAAATGTTCAACAAACCTGTTGCTAAAGATTTTTGGTTTTGTGTCATAAAAGGAAGATTAGAAAATTACTTGAATGAAAAAGAAGCATTCCCACTTCAATGGCTCTTACTGCTTTCATGCAAGCTGGTGATGTTCTTACTGCAGGCTCCTTGGGCTGTTTGCTTTCTTCTAAAATTACATGGAAGATGTTTCCTTTTGCTCTAAAGGGGACATTAAGTTGTCCCTCCTACCTTCACACCCAACAGTTGGAATTAAACTTGTGAAAGAATGATTGAGTCAAAATAGAATCAGAGAACACTGTCAGTTGTGGATTTTATGGGTTCAGAATCTGCATTCTGGGTTTTGAGTCAATGTATGAAAAGCAAAGAAGCTGGTTCACAAGAGAATGCTCAGTTACTTAAGATTCCTGGCATTTCACGTAGTAAACATTTTAATTAATAATATCAGAATTCACAGCTGGGAGCTACTCATTAATTCTGTATTACAGTGAAATAAAGTCCCAGAATTTAAAAGATGGCTGCTCCTCCTTCACTCAGAAGCAGCTGTGCCAGTGCTTTTACTTGTACTTGAACTTTCAGTTCCATGTAGAACAAAATTGACAGCTTCAGCGTGTGTGGTTTGCAGCTATATGTAAAATGCAATCATCTCATTCCCTGAATCCCAAACTATAAATATTTTCAGGAACAATGGATCTTTGGAAAATATATTTGTGAAGCATTGTTTTTTAAGTTCTGAGCAAGGTTGCTGCTTAGAAAGTGCTTCAGAAAGCAAGGCGAAAAAGACCAGAGTCCAGAAACATATTAAGTTTGGATTTCCAGAAGGTTTTTCCTTTGTTTGCTTGCTTTGTTGCCTAGAAACTGACCTAAATAGGACACTCCATGTAGGCAGTGTTCTCCAGTGAAGGCTCTCTAATGGAGAAGGGCTGTTTAATTGATATGGCCAGAAGCACAAAGTATGCACAAAGAGTGAACACCCAACAGTCATTTTGTCAAGGCAGCAAGTCAGTTGTGCAAGACAGAGACCTTTCTGTTCCAGCTGTCATGTAAGCAGATAAATTGACGTTCATCTTTCATTTTGCCAGCTGTTTTGGTTACCATGGATAAATAGTTGTACTTTACTTTAATCTCAGTCTGCCCAGTGATTTTAAAACATCCATAGCACCCATAGGTGTGAACTTCAAACTGGGGGTAGAAAGGATACATCAACACATAGTCTCCTTTCCCACCATGCTGTGGAGAACATGAATTTCAGGTATATAGGCAAGGTGGAGTGGAGACAGGAACCAGAATCACCATTACCTGGCGCTGGCCAGAAAGCCAGGGGACTGCATGATATTGTGCTTCCAGAGAGTCCTTAAAGAACATACCACAAGTGGACATATTTCACACACATAACCCACCATTACTCAGCAACAAGTGGAAAAGTCACATAGCATAAATTCAGCCCTTGGCCTGCAGCTCACTGGATATTTATACAGCATTGACTGCCCAGAACACTTTTACTTGAGATGATACTAGCCTTTTTTATTTTGTTTTCAGAGAATTTGAATCAAATGTCATCTTTAATAGTTACTGTACAGAACAATTAATAACTTTTTGTTCTTTTTTTTAATCAATAAATTCTTGTTCCTGGCAGTTCAGTATTGTATACTCAGTACAGAATGAATACTTCAAACCCACAAGATTTTCTTACTCATAATTGGATGAAAATAGTGCAGTTCTGTTTTGTAGATTTTCATGCCTGCATTACTTCTTTTTTTTTTGTAAAATATGGAAGACGAAGTTTGTTTGGAATAAAAGATCCCAACCTACCAATTTCTGTGTTCAGACTCTTAGACTAAAGTCTTACATGAATGCCTTACATTTGTCTCATGAATAGAAATAGCCTGATTTTCAGAAATGCAGAACGTCCTCAGTTCCCAGTGACCTCAATGGACTCTGAAGAGCAGCTCTGATATCTGAGTTGTGCTCCCTTTTCTCTCCTCCCCCCCCTCATTTTGAAGCCTAAATACAGATTTATAAGCCTAATTATTAGAAATCCAGATGTGAGAATTTGGCCTGGAAAATAGCATACCTAATTTCTTTATTCATTGATCTCTTCTTCCTCATCTTCAAATGTTTCTTCTCCATCATTTGCTGTAGCTTCCTGGTATTGCTGATACTCTGACACCAGATCATTCATGTTGCTTTCTGCTTCCGTAAATTCCATTTCATCCATTCCTTCTCCTGTGAACCAGTGGAGGAAGGCCTTTCTCCTGAACATGGCTGAAAATTGCTCAGATATCCTTTTGAAGAGCTCTTGAATGGCTGTACTGTTGCCAATGAATGTGGAAGCCATCTTGAGGCCACGAGGCGGTATGTCACACACTGCCACCTTAACATTGTTTGGGATCCACTCCACAAAGTAACTGCTGTTCTTGTTCTGGATGGCCAACATCTGCTCGTCAACCTCCTTCATTGACATGGGGCCACGGAAGACAGTAGCCACTGTCAGGTATCTCCCATGCCTCGGGTCACAGGCTGCCATCATGTTTTTGGCATCGAACATCTGCTGGGTGAGCTCTGGAACAGTGAGTGCTCGGTACTGCTGGCTGCCTCGGGCTGTCAAAGGAGCAAAGCCTGGCATGAAAAAGTGAAGGCGTGGGAATGGGACCATATTCACTGCCAGCTTCCGGAGATCAGCATTGAGTTGGCCAGGAAAACGCAGCGATGTAGTTACCCCACTCATGGTAGCAGAAACCAAGTGGTTTAAATCACCATATGTTGGAGTGGTAAGCTTCAGGGTGCGGAAGCAAATGTCATACAAAGCTTCATTGTCAATGCAGTAGGTTTCATCTGTATTTTCAACCAGCTGGTGGACCGAGAGTGTGGCATTATAAGGCTCCACCACTGTATCAGAAACCTTTGGAGAGGGCATGACACTAAAGGTATTCATTATCCTGTCAGGATATTCCTCTCGTATTTTGCTGATGAGCAGGGTTCCCATGCCAGACCCTGTCCCTCCTCCCAGGGAATGAGTGAGCTGAAATCCTTGCAAGCAATCGCAGTGTTCGCACTCTTTTCTCACTACGTCAAGTACAGAATCAACCAGCTCTGCCCCTTCAGTATAGTGTCCTTTGGCCCAGTTGTTTCCTGCACCAGTTTGTCCTAAAAAAAAAAAATACACAATTGGAGAAGAAAATATACAAAGTTACCAGCAGCATTTGGGTACCTCATGGAGTACACCACACCTGTAAAAATGAGCTGCTAATAATTTGTCAGGTAGATAACAATGCTCTTCAGTTTTGCCTACAAATCTCTCTACTACTATCAACCTAAGCTTTTTATACAGACTCCTTTTGCCTCAAATCCTCCATAGTGTTCATTTATGCCTTTGGGTGACATTTTCTTTTTTGGAATTTAACTTTCCATAAATGCAAAGATGGCACTGGTTCCTTGTTTTGAAAGCTCTCACACTCCCAGCCCTGCTTATTCCATAAACATACAGAGACTGTTTATATTTAAATGCTTTCTGTTTATAGGGATCACGATGAATAAAAAGCTAAATCACAGATGCGCATTTCTAAATGAAGGGTTCTTGGACTGCTCTCACATTTGCTCCTTTCAGACAGGAGGTACAGTTGTCATTCAAGGATGAGGCTAAGCTTCTGAAATAAGTCCTTTTTAACTTACTATATCAAAAACTGTAACTTTTCCAATCAATGGTTATCTAGCCTGAATGAGAACACTGATCAACAGAAGCTCCATGAAAGATATTCCAAAAATTCAGGGGTTACCAAGTGCTATTTAACATCTACTGGTTTCCCTAGAAACTCACTACTCTTTGAGATCTGCAAAGCAACTTGCCAAATCGAAAAAATGTACATTTCACAGGCCCTCATTTTCTCCCCCAGCTTCCATTTGCCTCTTATGCACCACTCAGGATGGATAATCTGGATTCCCTGCTACACCAATATATTATTATTAGATACAGATTAAATGAGGGACCGGCCTTTAATACTCATATTCCTCACAGTGGCTACACTACATACGTATGTCATGCTACCAAATTCAGTCAGTAGTACTCTTGGAAGTAGTCATTGGAAGGAGCAATAATTTCACAATCACATATATCCACCTCCGCATGGTTCTCCAAGTCCTCCCTTCCTTCCTACTACCATGCCCCAGTTCAATTCCCAATGTGCTGTGCTGGTGCCAAACATACAGTTCTGGGAAAACTGCTAGCTGGGGTATTGTTCAAATATGAGACACTTTTTTCACTGCAAAAAAAAAAAAATGCTTGATTTCCTCAACATTTATCTGGTTAATTGTTCTATATGCTGCTTTGTTTTTCTCTCTTTGAATCTAGGAAGGTCAGCACTTCCTGTCCAGCTGGACAAAGCACAAAGTAATATCCTTCCAGAATTAAATATGCTTGCAACCACCTGCAGTGTGCTTGAGCTGATCCCTCGCCAGATATCTGCACAAGCCAATGCTACTTCAGATGCAGAAGGATCTTAAAACCAAAATCTGAGTTTTTAGAATATGTTTTGCAGAACATCCCCTGTGTTGCCCTTCTCCACTGGGCAGTGAGAGAATAGGAGAGAACACAAAATAGGAGCAAAGAATTAGGAAAGAAAAAAAAAAGGCAATTATTCTCAAAAATGTGGAAACTTTGTGTTCACGGGAAAAGATTTGCATTGGCTTAGTCTGCAAAATAAATTAGGAAGTACAACATGTAAGACAGAAGTGGATCAGTCCTCCCTCAGGGCTAATTCACACCACAGGATCTCCCAGAAGCCCATTCTATCACTGTTCAAATTTGATTTATTGCATTCACACAGCCTTTGTATCTATCTAAACTGCACTTTAACTGCAGCAGTGGCTGCCTACAACACCACTATCTGTTTCCCTTCTGCCCATGACTATCAGTTGCTCATGTGTTAACTCTGCACTCATCTACTAGGCAGCACCCACCTGAGGTCTCCTATGTTCCCTGTGAAACCCCAGAGGATGCACCCACTTACCAGGTACCTACCAAAACTCTTGAATATCACACACTATACTAAAAACTGTAGGTTTGGCAGATCTTTGCTTTGTCCCACAAGCTCTGTTATACATGCAGCCAGCCTCCAGCTTCCGCCTCTTCTCACTGTTCACTTACTGAAATCTAATGGAAGTCTACAAGTAATCCCAGAACTAATGCTGGTACCTCCAGATCTTCCTACCACTGTTTGTTTCTCCAGTGCTCATGTGTAAGCTTGAGCTGCACGTGCACAGAAGCCATTTGTCTAACAGACAAAAAATAGCAGCTATTTTCTGAAAACTTATTCCTCTCCTTTTCTCTCTCTACTATTATTTTACTCTCTTTTATTTCATGCTTGAAATAAAAGACAAACCTAGGAAGAGACACCGGTAGCTTGCATACTAATGCTGAGAAGACTATTGTGAAGGCCTTGGTGCAGAACATACAACGTGATTTAGAGAGGGAAAGACACTCCTTTGACTGGCTAACAGCCATTTGTGTTTATCACCATCAGTTCAGACAACAAACTGGAGAGATACCTATCCAAGAAGAGCTAGCAAGGATGTAGGCAAAAATGGAATGAGAAATGCAGGAGTGTACTAATGAAAAATGGTCAACAAAAACAGTTACATCAGACAGTTCGTAACAGACACTGGTAGACAACTGTACACCATTAGGGAGCCAAAAGACCCGCTGCTCTCCTACAGCAAGTTCATTCCATCTGTGCTTCTTCACCCTTCACATCAGCATCCTGCAGCATTAAAGTACAAGGATTATGTCTGCATCCACCTCAGACTCCCACTAGCCTGAGCTAAAAATCCCTATATCTGGTGTGTGTGATCAGCTGCCTAATATAGCTGAACGAAATTCTCATTGATGGTGCACACCTACTTGTTACAGGTATGCACACATACACGTATATGCACGCAGAGACTGCAAACATCTCCATCAGAATGAGCCCTAACAGCCTGGCATACAGCAAGTATGGAACTGCCAGCCTCTGCCACAAAGTCCATTGTGGGTCCAGGCTGGATTTTTAAAAGAGAAAACAAAGTGCTTTGTTGGCTTTTAATACAGAAGATCATTACTTCAGCACTCAGGCAGCCATTCTGCACTATTCAGCAGGTTGGGAGGACGGTGCCTGATGCTGGCAGGGCCCTCCGTCAGATACCAGTTCATCACATGCTGATGGTTCATTGTTAGCTTGTCAGAAAGGGAGTGCAGTGAACTGAACTATTGTTAAAGACACTAAATTGATTTTGCTCTGGTTTTACTGGTGATATGCCAAACCGTAAAGTTCCAACACAGGTATTTCCAAAAGTTGTGTGAATTCACTCCTGTGGGGCTGCTGTGGTACACAGGAGAAAGGGAGTAAAAGTAAAAACGTGAATATAGAAACTTGCCTCATAAGGCTGCCTATGACTTTTTACACCAGGCTAACTTGTACATATTGTAACTTAAAATGCTTTTGAATGTAATCCTTAACATCATTGCTACGGATCATATGGGAGAAAATTAGCAATAAAACTTCAGCTGAACTCTGTTAAAGAAGTCAGTTAAAGGCTTAATATGAATCTATGGCTTCTTATTCCCTACCTCACCAGAGGGAGGTTGAGCTACAGTTTACTTCACACCACCCAAACAATGTTTATCTTTTCTCTGTCCTTCCCTGGCACCGTTCCTTCTTTATTATATTAACACAATATACCAAATAAACTGAAACCTAAGCTTGCTTTGGCAGGAGGAAGAGCAGCTAGCACAGACGTGGAAACCAGAAGGCCACTGGAGCCCTCGTGGTAGCTCTCATTCAGGCTTCCTGTTTGAGTGGTTCTCTTGACTTTCACACACCACCTCTCCTCTAGTACTAAGGGACCAACAGCACTCCTGTACTTCTTAAGGATGCTATGAAATTCAATCATGGCAACAGTCACTTTTAAGCTTACATGGGAAGTACTACAGAAGTGCAAAGCAAAACTGGTAAAAGCCAGAACAACCCTTTCCAAGAACACTGCAAAACCTGAAGTTCCTCCATGCTGTCAGATTGTTCCTCTTTGTGTTGGAAAATAACCCAGTAACTGGCTCTATGAGTGGTTTCCATTGGCCTCCCTTTAGTGTTAAACTATGCTATACTGTAAGGCTCCATTGAAAGAGTTAAATTACACAGCCTTTAAACAACTTCATACTCATGCATTTAATGCAATTTCAAATAAAAAATAGTTTGGTTGGTTTGTGGTTGAGCTTTTTCCCCTCTGCTTTCCATTTCCTGCAGAATTTCCATGCATTTTGTCGTAAATAGTTGGTCTCAGGATTTCATTAGCATTCAAATACATTGAAAGTAGACGTACACTATCTGATGATTATCATAGGAAGCTTTCAGTAGTTTGCTAATTGAAGAAACAATTAACAGAAGAATGATTTGTTCAGTTAATGGGATCTTTTGGCTGACTTACAGATAACCGAAAATGGATTGTTAAGCTAATAAAGGTTTTGAGTATTAATAATACTTTGAAACAAGGAGGAGGCAATATAGTTTAAATGTTTTTTAACCATTCACTTCTTTTTTCTTCCTTTGTAAGAAGCATCCACATACCAAAGATGAAATTATCAGGCCGAAAGAGCTGACCAAAAGGACCAGATCGCACACTATCCATGGTGCCCGGCTCCAAGTCCACCAAGACTGCTCTTGGCACGAATTTCTGGGCTACAATGAAAAATAAGCATGTCCTTAATGTTCTGGAAAATAGTGAAAGAGTTACAGTGTTTAACACACAGTTACATTGCTTACTATCAGTCTAATACAGATTGTACATAGATAAATATTTCCTATAGAGGAAATCATAGCGGAAGATGAATCCAAGCATGATATGCACAAAACAATTCCCATCGAACAACAGACTTGATAACTGGATGTCAGTGGAATATTACATTTTGTAGGCATTTTGAGGATTAGACATAAAGAAGGGAAGTTTGACTACAAAAAAAAAGTTGAATAATAAAGTAAACAATTTTTGCTGTGTGTAAGGGGTGAGTGGAGGGTTAATACCCAAATCGTATAATATTATATAAGTTACATTGGACCCATAAGGATTGCGGGTCCAACTCCTAGCTTCACAAGGGAGCACCCAAAAAACTCAGACAGACCATAAGGATGCTAAAACACACAACTTTTCATGCTTGAAGGACTCACCATCAGTGAGAGATCTATTTGGTGCAGGTGGCAAAAAACTGATAAGCGCATCTACCACAAAGCACAAGAATCTGTACGTGGTTGAAACTGCTCAAGGAAACTAAGGTAAATAATACCATAGAATCCTAGAATCACCAAGGTTGGAAACGACTGCTAGGATCATCCAGTCCAACCATCCACCTATCACCAGTATTTCCCACTAAACCATATCCCTCAATACAACATTTAAATGCTTCTTGAACACAAATACATTAAGCTAAGCTGGACAGAAGACAAAACAAGTTCTTCCCAACGACCAAAGAACTCACTGTCCCTATTTTACATAGCAATACCTTCCAACACCAGTCTGACTCAAAGGACTTCGGTGCCTTTAGCACCTTATTAATGAATCACCATTACCCACGCCCCAACTCTTTCAACCCACAGAACAAAACCTGCATACTACAGATACGGGCTCACAAAATCAGCAGTTGAACGTGAGACGACGGACAAGAGACAGCTGATGCATTAATCACGCGTTACAAGCGCGAACAGCGATTAACAAACTTCCACACAGGCTGTGCCCCGTGAGACACTCCCTCCTCTCCGCCTGGGGAGCGGAACGCCAGCTGATGGCGGGAGGAGGGCGGCCAGAAGCGCTTGCAGCTTACAGAACCGCTCTCTCCCACATTCCTGGCTCCGTCCTCACGGAGCCCGTCGCCCAGCACCCTCCCCGCCCCACACTTACAAGATGATTCGTTATAGTAGACATTGATCCTTTCCAGCTGCAGCGCTGAGTCACCGACATAGCCTCCGGCTGGGTCAATGCCATGCTCATCACTTATCACTTCCCAAAACTAGGGCAGGGAAAGAAAAAAAAGAAGAAGAAGAAGAGTGTTGGGAACTCCCCCGCCGAGATCCGTGTCCCTGCCCAGCTCCCCAACGGCCACGCAGCGCGGCCCGGCCCGGGGCAGCTGCCGGATTCCAGTCGCTCCCGGCCCCTCCCTGCGGCGCTGCCCGACAGCGCCCGGGGCGGCACAGCTGCGAGGGGCTGCTCGGCTCCCAGCCGCCCCACGCCCGCCGCTCAGCCCCGGCCCGCCCGCTTTGCGAATAGCCGTGAGAAATCCCGTCGGTTTCAACGCTCCTTTTTCGGACGGCTGCTGAACTTCCCTGTCCACCCGCAGCCGCCCGGAGCGGCGGGAGGGCTCCCCTCGACTCACCTTGGTCCCGATCTGGTTGCCGCACTGGCCCGCCTGGATGTGCACGATCTCCCTCATGGCGCTGTCCCGCACTGCACGCCCCGTCCCGCCCGCTGTCCCTCCGCGCAACCCAGCTCTGCCCCGCGCGGGCGGCGCTTTATGGGCTCTGAGGCGGCGCACCCCCCCCAACCCCCTCCCTCCCCTTTCCCCGCCGCCAGCGCAAACGGCCGCCCTCTCCCGGGACCGCCCCACCCGGCCCTCGGGCGATGGGGGCGCGTTCCGTTACCTCCGGGGAGCGGGGGTGGGTGGCTGAGCGGTGCTCCCGGCCGACACGAGCGGCAGCCCCGCTGTGGGAGCCGGAGTTGGGTTATGCGTCCTCACCCTGCTTGCTTCATTCACACCGCACGGAGTCATAGAACTGCTTGGATCGGAGGGGACCCCTATATTTCACCTAGTCCAACTGCTCTGCGATGAACAGGGACACCTACAGCTGCACCATGTTGCTCAGAGCCTGAGCATCTGACTGACCGCTGGTTCTGCTGCCCCCGAGGTGGCTCTGATCCACACTTTGCTTCTTACAGTGCGTTTGCTGAGAGCAGGCATGACATCTTTGCCTATCGTGTAGCTCCTGCTCTTTCTGTACACAGATGGCAATCAGTCTTCTGATGTTCTTCAGTCACTTCGGTCTGCTGTCCAATCCCAGGTGGCTGCAGCCTTCACTGCAGCGAGGGCATGCCAAGCAATGTGTGGGCCTTCTCACCATGCCAACAGCCATCTTTGCACCTCTGTTCTCCAAGGTGGGTTTGCTAGGAAGCTGCTGCCTGAAAGTTGTCACTTGGAAGACAAGGGATCATTATGGAACAACAGTCCAGAAAGTTTGTGTTGTCACATTAAAGACCATGCCCTGGAATATGCATAGTTTGAATAGTTTGATTTCTAATGAAAAGGAAGACTTTCAGTCCCCTCCAGACAGCAAACAAGTCCCCAGAGCTGCAGTATCTCCTTTAACAGCCCCTTAGACAGCTGCTTCATAGTTTCCTGAGTAGAGAAAAGCTGTCCAGCTTTACTCCTTACTTCAATGCCACTGCGACTCCTCAGTGCAGTGCAGCTCCCTGCATAGCCCTTGTAGAAGGCATTCATCTGTCTGAGCACATCTTTACAGTCTGAATGCACCCCTTCTGCTGTGAAAGCCTTGGGTGTACAACCCTTGAGGGCAGAGCTGCAGAACTTCACTGTCCAGCTGAGTTTCTTAGATTATAGAAAGATGTGAGATTAAAGGTAGCCCACGTGGAACTTGGATGATCTTTCCAGTCTGAACACAGTTAAGATAAACCCCACAAATCAATATGCAACCCCCAAATAGCCCAAAATCTGTACCAAAGCTGGGAGGTCTCTTCCTTCCTACCTGCCTGTACAGCGCTGCGATATGGTTGATAGCTAGACCAAGGACTCTGGGAAGTAACCTTGCCTTTTTGTAACTTTTTTTCAGAAGCTTTTTGCAAATGACCTCTGAGCAGCTCCTGCACACCATGCTTTCTGCCATCAGTGAAGCAGATGGAGGATCAGTGCATTTGCTTTGCAAGCAGTCAGCACCACAGGACTGGATACTATGTGCCTTTTTCTCTGCAGAAGGACTCAAATAAATGTCCTTCTGTCTGTGATCTGCAATTTTGGAAGACATCCACAAGCAAGTCATTTGCTCAGCAGCCTGACTACTGAGGTCATCTCGGGCTTTGCTTGAATCTATATGTCCTTGAATGTATCTTGGAGGCCTGTTTTTCCACACTCTTTGCAGATGTTGTCATATACTATTATGTGATTCACACTTGCCATCAGAGCATTGCGCTTTGTTCGAATTATTTCTTCTGGGATGCCATTTTTAAAAATTCCATCTCTAGATTTTCTCTTTCTACCTATTCCACTAAGTTTGTCAGCTGGGCTTTGCTTGTTACTAATCTCAATCAAGGATAGAGTGATACTTCTGTTAATCAGGCCCAGAAATCAGTTATGAAAATACACCTGTGGAAGACTTGTGTTAATAAGCACTTTCAGCTCCGGACCCATGTGTTAGAGCCAGCACTGGCTTTCTCAGTGGCATGCTATGTCAGCAAGTCTCTCTGGAAGCTGCTTGTTGCCCTACCAGCACCTTATCATAGTCTTGCTAGCAGTTGGCTTGGCTCCCCTGCTCCCTTCAGTAGCAAGCATACAGAATCTATGGTCTCTTCAGTATCTTCAGTCTTATACTTTCTCCAGTATTTAATTCCCTTACCTTGCTCTCCAGCTATCCTGGCTTGATGTTTACTGATGAACTCTGGCATACAGATTCATACCTGTGTACACTTTGGTCTCTTCAGCTGCTGCTGGCACCACAGAAACAAAGGTCTCTGTGCCTTGTGGCCCTATGTCTAATTGCTTGGACCACCATACAGACACACACATAGAATCGAGGGTCTCCTTATCCAGAAAAAATAATCAATGTAGGACTTAATAAGACTGATGGGATCAAGCGCAAGGCAAAGCCTGGCAAGAGTGCTGACCACCAACCTGTTCACAACCAGCCAGACCATTTTAACCCCTTATCCTTTTATTTTTCCATACTTCTGACTCACAAAACCACCTTTATCTCCCTCATTCCCTGTCTTTGATTTCCTTCTCCACACATACTCCAGTAAGTCATGTGCAATCCCAAAGGTGCTCTCATCCTGTGAGTCCCATACCCCTCTAGGCAGTAAGTCACACAGTTCAGTGGGCCTCTCCCACTGACTGATGATGAATGTCACACCATCCACGGACAGGTCACTTTCTGGGAGGCGTTGGGCAGAGTCTCCTTTTCCCTGGGTACGTTACTGGAGTTTCCCCACTTCCTATTGTTGCTCTGTTCTCCTCGGTGTTCAGAGAGATAAGTCTTCAATCACATAACCCAAGTGCAGCCTTTAGAATCAAATGATATTTTTAGAATTAAAAATAGTAGGCAGAAAGTGAAAATATATAGGCCAGTAAAGGGGTATAAGAAGAAATGAGAATACTGTAGTAGAGCCTTTAGTGCATGTACCTCCTGAAAAGCTGTAAGTACCATCCAGTGCCTGTCTTTTTCAGAATGTTCCTCTGCTGTCTGAGAGCAGCAGTTGGTCAAATATTGTTCAGAGGCCGAAACTTAAGCCAGTTTCCCACACATACAAAGCAATCAACTGAAATAAGTGCCAGGCTGCAGAACTGTCTGCGTGATGAAGTTGAGCAACAGTTTACCCAAAGAATTTGCATCTCACTTTTACGCATTTTAAAACTATTTAAATAGACAGCCAGACCTGAATCAACCTGCAGCTACTCTGTGTTTTCTTGCTAGTAATCTGAGAAGCAACACCCGTTTGTTGGTCACTGAATGTAAATGTGCCTTTGAATCCTTTTCATCCACGCTTGTGTTTGCTTAGCAGTTCAGCTGACTTAGAAGTTGGATGTGCCATTGCAACGAGAATCCACAAAAGCCTACACATTCTCTGTAAGTCTCCATAGTCTTTGTCCTATGACATCTCCATAGGTACTTAGGTGTTTCAAAATCTTACTGTGAACTTAACTGCTGTACTTATAGATGCATTTTAAAATCCGAGTAAACACTTCTCAGAAGTTTAAGGCACCTAAACGTCTTTAAAGATGTCTCTCTATGTGCTTCATCTGATTGAGTCAATGAGATTCATTCTATAAACAGAGGAACATAGGAACGCACTGTAATAGAGATGGAGACCTGCAAGACAATTGATGTGGATGTGGCACCTAGGGGCATGGTTTAATGGTGGACTTGATAGTATTATGTTAATGGCTGGACTTGCTGACCTTAAGGGAGCCTAACTGAGTCAATAAATTATATGATCCCAATATCACAAGTAGGATAAAATATGTAAATCACCTGTGTTACAGAGAAGAAGGATTTTCCAGCAAGAGCAAACCAGGCAGTAGTCATCTCCTACCAAGTCACATGGAAATGCACTTTAATGTCCTGAGAAAAAAAAGAAAAAAAACAGCAAAGTTCTTCTGTATTTAGCTGGTCATATGATATGATTGTTAGGCTGCTTCCTGCTTTTCAGGAAACATGTTCATGTTTGTATGAGGGTTGTTGCTAGGGCTAATTTTATTTACTGGAGGAGTTTTGAGAAGCTAGAGTAAAATTCATGTTGTAGCAGAACAGTTAACATGTTAGTTACTGCTTCCTTTTTTCAGAATGATCGTGTGCTGTATTTTGATATGTAAGGATATCAACAAGGATTATAAGGCATTATAAATCTTGTTAATAAGTACATTAATGACCACAACAGTAAACAAAATGCAAAGAGCAGATCCATTCTGACAGCTTTTGGTAGGCTGGTAAATGCTACTTATCCCATGGTCACCTAGAACAGGAAAGTCCCAGGGTGAGTGTAGTTTCTCTTCAGTTTTCATGTAAGTTAAATGTATGTGTATCTTAAAACGGTTTGCCTCCTTTTTTTCTTTTTTTTTCTTTTTTTTTTTTTTGCCTAGCTTCCTGAGGAAACAAAAAATGGGAAGTCATGCTCTGTTGCAAGTGTGTGTCCATGTATCTCCATGACCACCTTTTCAATCTGCCAGCATATTGTGACAAAATCTGACAGAGGCACATGAGTCCCGGAGATAGAGCAGCTGCAGAAGAATGCAGAAACAGCCCTGGAACTAGACAGTGTGATCTTTCAAAACGGGAAGGGAAACAACAATACACACAGAAGCACGCAGTTAAATAAGGCTAAAGTCAGCATACCCACTTATAATAGGTATTTTGGAGTTTTTGTTATTTCTATTTTGCCTGGAGAAGCCACTGTATTTCATATAACCCTCAAACAGTTTGCTGTTTTGTTCCTAGATTAAGCTGATTGCTGTGCAAGCTGTAGCATCACTGATTGCCACCGATGCTCAAACATAGCACTTTGGGCTTTGTTTTAATGCTGCTCTCCGGTGTGCTTAATAACTGTAGTTGCCAGTGGAGGTACCAGTTTTTTTGTGCCCTCAGCATGTGGTCTGAATCTAGCAATGTTAAAGCAAAGGTTGCTGCATCAGGACAAGGTTGAATATGTTTATGGAAGAAATGTCTCTAAGTGCTTGAAGCAGCACAAGAGGAATTCCACCATCTGACAGAGAAGTGTTTCTAGCTGCCTTTTCACACGCTTTTCTCAGTTTGACAAGCCAAATGAAAAAAACCTGAAAGTCCAGCCATGAATATTAAAGTGGCTGAGTTAGTCGCCTTTGCGTTTTCCTGCACTGGGAGCCTTATTGTCTTTTCATCTGTAACACATTTTTTGTCCTTTGTATATGAATATTTTCTTTCAGCCTTTTGTTTCTGCCTGTGTGTAGCCTCAGTGCTAACAGCAACTCACCCATGACTTTTCTCAGGGTCAGTTGTAGTGATTTTTATGCAACAGCTGTAGCAGCTGTAGGAGAGAAAGGCATGTACCTGCCTGTTATGTCAGGCAGAATGTGTGTTTGGTGTGGCTGTATTTTTAATTTCCACTGTAATAGGTCTCTTAGCTACATAAACAAATAGATCCAGAGAATAGGCTACACTCTGCGTTCAACAAGTCAGGAAAATATCTAGATTAATGCTTTCCTACAGCTACAGCCAAAAGAGTATGGCAATAAAAAATCAAGTCAGAAATGTTTCTACATTCAACCCCATACATCAGAGATTTTGGGGAACTGTTTGAAGAACAGAATGAAGACAAATTTTAGCTGCAATGTGTATTCTCTGTAATTTGTTACTGAGTGTATATCTGTAAGAGGATGATGAATCTGAGATATTGCAGGCTTGCCTATGGAGTTTAGTCATTAAGCTAAGGATTATCAAGTGTAAAAACACGTTCTCACCATGAGTACAGTGACAGCAGCTTATCTAGATAATAAGAAGGCAGCCATGACAGTAGTCAGCGACAGGTACTACAGAAAGAATATGATAATGCTTCTCCCAAAAAGCCTTTCTACTTTGGCAGTCAGTGGTTAAGGGTTTATTGAACCAAAGGCTGGATCCAGTCCCTTACATTCAGTAATCCTTTTGAAGCATGCCTTACATTATGCGTTTCCATTTTTAGGCCAGCTACGCTTTCAGCCTCCAAAGTCTCCTTGTGGGCTTTACTTACAGCTGCATGCTGACCTGTGAAGAAGTTTTCTCTGTTAGAAAGCTGGTGTTTTAATTTGATGCCCTGCAATTCTTCTGTTCTGAGAAGCAGGAATTAATTTCCTAATGACTATCACAGCTTTGTGTAAGGTGAAAGTTTTAGTATAATTTTTTTTTTGTTCTTTCTTTCCCTATGATCAGTATTAGTCTAATTAATTTCCCTATGAAGGGGACATCACCCCTGTGAAACTCCTCGTTTATCACCTCTCTCCGTGCACTATCTCTATGGTAGCTTCTGTGAAATGAGGAGTGACAGAATTCAAAGCATGGCCTTTAATTTGTGCAGTGGTGTTTGATGCTTTCTGCTCTGGTTTTCACTTTCTAATAAATCACTGCATTCTATTTGCCTTCTTCAATGCTGCTGATCTTTGAGCTGATTTTTCTCATTGAACTGCCCACAGTACCCCCCAGATGTATTTTGAGACACACGCAGAGTGGATTTACCTTGTGTTACACAGTTATGGATTACAAATTTCAACAGGTGTTGTTTCATTCAAATGACTATTATGAAATAATTCTGAAATTCATTCCAACTGACTGCAGTTTTGACTTCCCTGAAGATTTTTATGCAGTTAAAAAGCTTCACCAGTTCATTACTTTCTTTAACCTTTAGCATTAGCATTATACATTTTGCCTTTAGCATTCTGCCAGCCAGATCCAAATACAACTAACGCATCTATCCTAGGCTTTGTCTCTTCCCTATCATTAAAGCAGAAGAGCACTTGCATGGAATCATATCCCACCCCATCAGCCTCCTTGAGACACTTGAGTAAAACACCTTGCAACGCTTGACAGCAGAGATCTGTACTGCAGTGTGTGGGGGGTGGAAGGATAGGTGTAGGTTCTGTTACACCGAATAACTTACGGTTTTATCCTCTGAGAAAATAATAATAACAATAGACCACTAAGAAAAGGGGTTGGAGTCCTGCCTAGACTGTCAGTTATTTAGGAGTTGCTAAATATTTGAGATGAAATGGATAACCTTTTAAGTAAAAGTGATTCATCTCAGTGTGAGAAACACTTATTTTATAACAGTAATTTTGCAGCTAAAATCAATTATAAACTGCTATAGCCAGGTCCTGGGTTTCACAGGTGAGTCAGTTTTCTTCCTTGCCCTTTTCCTTGGTTGTGAGTGGCTCCTGGCTGCCACCCTCCACTGCTATCATTGATCCTACTCATCTGCCACACATGTCCAAACCAAACCAGCATACCACTTCTGGACTGCTTGACAAATGATTCTCTCAGATTACAAATGCAAGGAGAAGATCACCGTTCCTCCCAGCTCCATCAACCGGTAACAAAGAGCACAGCAGAACTACGGCTCGACAATGCCTGGCTTATTTTTAACAAGACAATCTGTAACACTCAAGGGCAGATGGGTACTGCCACTGAAGGAATGCGATCTGACACTGACAGCACAACAGCAGCTGAAGAGCTCCCTTCTGAGCAGAATACTGTGAGGTCAGGAACCAGAAGGGGAAGACAGCATTTACTCACAGAGAAAGGATCGTTCTTCTTTTAGAAAATCGTTCTGCAGCATTTAGGCCGAGAGTGCATGCCTCAGACTGCAACCTAACAGCAGCATTACCAAAATCATGATTTAAAAGCTCATGCACGCTAAGAATGCAAGAGGTCAGTTTGGCTCGTGGCCTGGACTCAACCCACTGCCCACCCACGATGAATAATCCATTTCACAGTGTTTGTTGAACAGCGTACCAGAATACAGGAGGATATGGGAGTACAGTGTATGTTGGCAGCACAATAGAATGCCATTGCTTTGCTGGAAGGATACAGAGACATGGCTGTTGCCTGTGCCCAGAAAATTTGCACAGATATTCATCTCTATGATGTAAAATCATTTCATGGTAGCACCACATCTCCATACTGAATAGGAACGTTATATTTCAAGGTAACCCATAGGATCTGTCAGGAATAGAGAACAGCTCTAAGTAGTCAAAAACTTTATTTCAGGACAGCAGCTTGATTAGTATGGAAGACACAGAAATTGCTACAGAAACAAGAAGGCTGGCAATTTCTGCCTATAGACCTAATATGATCTACAGATAGAGTGCAACAGATACGTTTACGCTTAAAAACAAGCATGTCATTCTCCTCCCTTTTTCCTCAGTCACTCAGTACTTTTTCTTGGAACGTGGCCTAAGGGAATCTAGGAAAGTTGATAAAAGGCCACAAGAAGAATAGCGTTAACAGAGCAGCAGAACAAGTTTCACGTGTTAATAGGAGAAAGGCACAGTGAAATAGCAAAAAGTACTGAGTGCTTGAAACTGGTGATGTCTAGATAACGGCATCAGGAGTAGAGGAAGATTTTGGTAAAGGAAAACTAGAGCACTTTGAAAAGCGTTGGGAGCTTCCAAGTGAAAAGCAGAGGTTCTCTATCAGAATTTGGAATTTTGAGGCATCATGGAAACAGAAGTGACTTTTATCCACTAGGCTGCTACTGCCTTTAGTCACTGCTGATGCAGCTAGAGACAAGGAACTGCTTTGTTTTCACTGACCACAACTCTTGTGAAAACTAAACATGGTACCATGTCAGCAGCAGTAAGAATAGGAGGTATTGAGAAAGCTGCTAACTGAATTCCATGGCCACACAGGTGAAACTCTATCAGAGAATATATGATTTTATCTAAATGAAATTCTACTTTAATGCGGTTTGCACACTGTGCTTATCATGACAGGTAAAGACAGCTTGATTATCCTATCCAAACATGAAATGGTTTTCTCTATAGGGAAACTGGAATACTCAGCTATTTGCAGTAATTATTTAGTAATTTCTGATTTCAGACGAAATGGGCTTATCAAGTAATCATCTCAGAAAATGCAAGAGTTGTTCTGGAATATACTGACTTTTATTGGGAAAGCATGTTCACACAGGCAGTCAAGTGCAGATTAGAACAATATTCTACAACTGCTCCAAGTTTTCCTGGCAAACTCCTTATGTAGGCAAGAAGGTCTGAAAGCTGCAACTGGCGGAACATAAGTTAAGGTCCTTTGGTACAGGAGTCATTAAAACAATGCATTCTGCATTTTATATTTTCAGGAGAAAAGTAGGGAACACTTTTGCAGATCTCAGTTTGTCTAGTTCAGTAATAAATCAGTAGTTCTTCTTACACTTAAATAAAATTGCTTTCTTTTCTATTCTTTCCCAACTTTTGAGAAGTGGAAAGAAGATTAGAAAGCATTATTTTATGAAGAGTAGCAGCAGAACAGTCAAGTGCCTATGCAAGGGAAGATGCTTTGTAATTAGAAATGCTTTAAACATGAAATTACTATAGATTTCACTGTCTAATTACAAAATGTGTCAGAAATAATTATACCTAAGTGGACTTTAAAGGACTTTTCAGATGTCTGAGGTTTCTCTGTTTCTATAACAGATAAACTATGCATGCCATTAAGCTAATGCTTTCTTAAATATTGTTGTTGTCTAAGGAGCTAGGACTTTTTTTGGTTTCTTTTAAACACACAACAGACTCACAACCAACCTGTAGTGCTGGCAGCAACTCTATTACTTTAAAAAAGAGGCATACCTCTTTTTTACCTCTAACTGTAACGTAAAATGACCTAATTATATAACAGACTTCTTGGAAAACTGATGATCAATCAATTTCTTATATTGGAAGTGCATGGAACACATTATCCTGATCCCATAGTTAATGTATCAAAACATACTATTTTTCTATTTCATTACGTTTTATAAAATAACAGTATTGTTTCAATGTTCCTCTTTAAAATGGTAATTAATGTTTATAAAAAATTATTCCTAACCAGTGGAACCTAGTATCAAAGAACCACAGAATGGCTGGGGCTGGAAGGGACCGCAAAGCCCACTCAGTCCCACCCTGTGCCATGGGCAGGGCTGCCCCCCCACCAGCTCAGCTGCCCATGGCCCCATCCAACCAACAATTCACATTGATGGGTGACCTTAGATTGAGGTCAGTATATATTTTGTATCTCATTATTGGAAGTATTAACCCTGTCGTTTATATAAATGCAGTTAGTCTCTGCAAACACAGCTGTAAAGAAAAAAATGGAAAACATGCTGAAAGATTTGCTTCCAAAGTTACTGACCATCTATTGCAGAGACAACTTAGTTTTGGCTTACTGTTACTGCTGTTGTTTTGTCTTGTGGTGAATTAACATTGACTGGCTGCCAGGTGCTCAGCCAGCTGATCTCTTACTTCTCCTTCTCAGCAAGACTGGTGGGAGAAAAGAAGTTGAAAAAGTGTAAGGCCTGAGATAAAGATAGGGAGACTGTTTACCAACACAGACTTGACTTGGGGAAGATTAATTTAGTTTCTTACCAACTAAAAACAAAATTGCTCTCCTTCCCAGCACACCTTCATTCCATGCTCAATTTCACGATTCCTCTACCTCCTCCTCCTGCCTGAGTAGCAGTGCAGGACCATGAGGAACAGGAGTTGTGGTTAGTACCTAACACTTTGCCTCTGCTGCTCCCTTCTTCTCTCACTTTTCCATGTCAGCACGTGGTCCTTCACATGGGATACAGCCCTTCAAGAACTGCTCCAGTGCTGGTCCTGTCTGTAAGGTGCAGTCCCTCAGTTCCTACGCTCTGATCCTGCCTGGGCTCTCCACAGGCTCACAGAAATCACACTACAGTTGGAGTTGGAAGGGCCCCTAGTCCAACTCCTTCTCAGAGTCCCCCAGAGCAAAGTGACCAGGCCCACATCCAGGTTGGTTTTGAAGATGTCCAGTGAGGAGACCCTGCAGTCTTTCCAGGCAACCAGTGTCAGGGCTCGGTCATTCTTACAGCTTCCTTCAGGCCACATCCACCTGCTCCACCATGGGCTCCTCCACAGGCACTGGGATCTTTTTCAGCACGGTATCCATTGGCTGCAGGGAGAGAGTCTGCTTTACTATGATCTTCTACAGAGCAAAGAGGTTGCAGAGAACTCCTGGTCCAGTGTCTAGAACACCTCCTTCCTCTCCTTTTTCAGTGACCTTAGTGTCTGTCCAGCTGTTCATCTCATGGTTTTTCATCATTCCTCTCTCTCACAGCTGGTGCAGTGTGCCTTTTGGTCTTTCCTTAGGTACATTTCCAGAAGTACCACTAGCACTGCTGATTAGCTCAATTTGGAACACTGGCAGGACTATTTTAAAGCATCTGAGACCAGCTTTGTTGAGCCCCTAATCTCTCCACTTTGAGACCACTCTGCTACCAAAGCCTTGCTGTATTGGGTTTATTTTGTACTCTCCTAAACTAATAAGTCAGATTCCAGTTCTCTCCCAAGAAGGAAAAACTGTTCAGTGGTCAGGCTCTGTGAAACTGTCACTTAAGCTGAGCACAGGATGTACTCACTGGGCAGAAGCATCCTAGATTCACACCACACTAACATGCTATTGCTCCTTATGCACAAGTTAATTTTGGATTAGACAAATCTAATATTTCACAAAATTAAATGAATATTTTTATGCAGTCAAAATGCATTGTAGCTGCAGGTAAATAACTGCAGAGTCTTTCCTCAGGTCATCTCCATGAGCGTTTTATTTAGTGGCAACTCCTACCAGCTGTTTCCTAAACCCCTCCCTCTCCCGTACTGTATAGTGTGCAATCTTCTGCAACTTTGGTAAAAGACGGAGGAGGGCATTCCTTTTGTGTGAAAGGAAACATTCTGCATGGTTTCTCTGAGGCCAGAAAGTGAGTCAGCAGTAGAGAAGTTCAGAGCCACATAACAGCATCCAGTTACTTCACTACTGCGTTCAGCATTTGGGAATATTCTGCAGCAGATCATGGATCCATTAACAATCATGATCATTTCTGGAATAAATTATTCTGGAAATCAATAGAGACAACATCCAAAGCCACAATTTAACTTTATTCATGGACATTTATGCATTTCCTCAAAATTGGCACCATATATCAGAAAATATTGCCATCACTCACATCACTCTCACCCATCTCAGTTTCCATAGCAAGTTAAACTACCGTGTTCTAGTTTTGAAATGGTAAAATATTATCTTTTCCTTTAGCAAAACATCAATTCTCATGTTCATAAATATTTTATGGCAAAGTATAGAAAGTAGCGATAATAGCGATAAATGTTAAACCCCACAAGGATTATTACTATAACTGAAGTACACTGTTAATTATGTTAATACCTCCAGTAATGAAGCATTAAGTTCAAACTCCTTTGTGCTTTGACTTTAAACTTTAATTAAAGAAGTTTGTGCCTTTAGTTCAAGTTCTACCTCTCTAAGAAGTATGCTGAAATGATTCAGAGTTATAATTCTAGTCCATTACAAACAATCTTATGTTCACATTTAGAATTACCAACATTTCCTAAATAGTTAATGCCTACCTCCCTACTGTGCTGAAAAAGCTTCCAGCGCAAAGTCCTGTTTTCCTTTCTTCAACCCCTCCCTTTCCTACAGATAAGGGTTTGGGGTATTTCCTACCGCATATTCCTAATGCTCTAAGGAATTTAGACCCTGCCTTACCCCCTCCCCCAGGCAGAAGAATCTGTACTCCTATTTCTCTTGAAAGAATAGGAAAGTGCAAGAAAGCAACTACTCTGTGAGTTTGTGAAAGGAAGGAAATTAAGTAGTAAGTTATACACACACAGAAAAGCTATTAGATCCTTCATCCTAGTCATGAAAAGAGCAGCTTTGTTTTGCCTGCAGAGCATGAGCAGTGCCTGAGTCAACAAGATCCAGTACTTCAGTGAAAATTCCTTTTTTGGTAACTACAGAGTACGACTTGGTGCATTGTTAGTAAGTGATGCAAAGCAACAGGGAAAGAGGGTCAGGGCAAGCAAGGAGGGAAAAAACATGTTTCATGCTTTTGAAATTTTAGTGTTACCAGCTTTGCCTGCAACAGTAACAAGTGCAGATTAACAGGGCTCTGGGAAAGAAAAAAAATAATAAATAAAAACACCAAGTAGAAAAGCTAGTTTCACTTCTTCACACTGGCAAAGAAGAGTCTGTGCTTTTATTTTTTGTAGCTTTCTCTGGAGAACAGTTGGTACAGCAGCAAATATCTTCTAAATACTAAATCTGTGGCAAAATCCAGATTCAGAAACAATGGAGTAATTCCACAAACTCCAAACTTTCCAAGACACTTCTCCCACCCTGAGAAAATATCAGTCAAGCTACTTTCTTCAGCTGTTTGCATTTGAACCACAGTGGAGATTGCAGCTCATATGACCTTCAGCAACTCAAGCATTAAGTGTTAGCCTGCCAGAGAAACAGCTGCTTAAAAACATTGCAAATTCATGTTGAGTTAGCCTTTTAGTCCTACAGTAACACCATTGGAAACTACGGAGTGTTAGCTTTGTGATAACTGCCTCTGGCTTTAGGAGGACAGAATTTGAGATCGATGTGGTTCGGACTTGCAAAAGCCTTCAAATTGTAGAAAGTTTAAGAAGCAGATGAATGCAATATTGAACTATGCAAGTATATTGTTTGCTTTTTTCCTACATTGATGCTTCCACCATTAGCAATGTATATATTCCTAGAAAGTTTTCTACATGTAATGTAATGTTTGAGGTGGGCTCGTTTAAATGCAATAAATGGTCCTTCAAAGCTGAAAGAGTCCCTGCACTACATCAGCTAAGCGCAGTTTCTTGATAGGGGGTAGAAAAATTCCAACATTTACCACAGTAACAATCATGGTAGGAATGGGGGAAAGAACAATATAGATAAAGTCTTCATTTTAACATAATCTCTCTCTCATCACCTGCTGAGTAGTCTGTTTTCTCCTGAAGGAAACCTAACAGTGTTGCAAGGTGCAGACACTCTTCCATGGGAAAAAATGAGTAAAATAAACCAGTCCACCTCTTGCCTGGAGCTGCGTGCCTCACCACCCCTCTTTCCTCCAGCAAATATTCAGAAGCGTATGGGAAACAACAAATCGGGAAAAAAAAAGCCACAAAGTTTCTTCCTTAGCTGTCTACTCATTTGTAAACCATTACTGAAGAGACAGGTAGAGACTTAGCAGACTTATGTCTGTTAGTCCTTAAGATCGATTTTAGGCTGCTTTTCACACAACACTGATTTGAAGGATGCAGCTCCAGCTGGCTAAAAATCAGATCCATAAAAGGCAGGCAAAAAAAAGCATATGAAAGTGAACCTGGCAGATAAATGTGAGCAATACTCCCACGTACTAGTAACATTTGAAGTAAAGAGATCCAGCTTACAGATAAAATGGATCCCACCAAACATGATGCTTGGTCATCTCAATCCATCTGTTCTTCTTTTAGCACATCAGGTTTTCCTCCAACTAATCAGTGCAGTTGATGTATGTGGTTAAAGGACTTTTGTCTCTGCAGAAGCAAGGCAAGCACCCTGGAGCTTATGTCAGTCCTTCCACTCCTACTTTTTTTCTTCCTTGTCACCACAGTTTCTCTTCCTGAGTGGCACTTGCAATCAGAATATTTACCTGCATGTTATCTCCTTAATGGCTTTCAGTCTTAATAATGTAACTTATTAAAATTCATCATAAGAAAGCAAATAAAAACCTCAGAAGCCACAACTATGAACAACAGGAGTTGAACATTCCCCCTTCAACAACAGTGTCTGTATTTTGTCACAACTGCCTACCACTACTTGTTTTCCCATTTGCCTTCACAGTCAAGGAGATCCTTTCCAAAAACCAGTCTGTTCACTAAACTGTATAAAGCTTTTTGGACAATTATATCCAAAGGTTAAAAACTTTTTCCTTTAATATAGTTTGTATTAGAGACTAAGACTGCAAATACCCAGTTTTGAGTATATGTTACACAGTAGGTAAGGTCCTGCTGTTCCCCTCGAACACAGGGGCATCAAAATCCAACATTTCAAGTGCAGCTTGGAATGTAGTGTTATCTATATGCATAGCTGAAGAGCAAAAATTACAGAATTGGAGGTTTAACCCCTGAAGGAATCTTCAGAAGGTTTTCTGTAAGCCATATGGATGGATCTATGACAAGTTACTCAATGCATTAGGGCAGAGCGGAACATCACACATAGTAAAAAAAAAAAAAAATGCTTTTCAACTGGTATAAACTATATTAGCCAGAACTTCCTATAGACTTGAAGAACAACACAAGTAGCTATACAGAACGTTTACTTGTTTTAAGGGAAATAAGGCTAAATTTTAAGCTTCTGCATAGTAATTGTGCTTTGTTGAATGAGACTTCATGACAGTATTGTCACTGAACCAGTTGTATTGTATATTCCCATTACTTGAAAAAGAAAATAAGTACACTTCAGCTTTATGTACCCAGTGCCAGCTGGACACTAACACCAGCAGTGTTAAGGATAAAACAAAACAAAACAAAACAAAAAAAAAAAAAAGGACAGCCCTGTCTGTTCAAAAGGCAAGTAGACAGCCACAAAGAAAACAAGCCATGTTTTGATCAGCACAAGGAAATGATCCACAAAGCACATGTTTCCAAATAATCTTATTTTCCACTGAGTTGCTGGGGTAAAAATCTGCCCCTCTCTTCTTTTTTTGCCCAGTCATTAGGCACCCATCCTTTTGCTGTGTTAAGAACCCACGAACACCAAACACTTACTTTACAACTAAGGCCTATAAGCATTCCCAAACGGGGAAAAAAAATGTTAGTTCACCTTAGTGGATATCTCCCTACTAAAACATCATTACATTCAAATTTGGGCAAGAGACCATCCTTAAACAAAAGGATCCAATATCAGAAGTGCTGCTGTAGTCTCTACTTGTGCTGTGCTCTTGTACAAGTGGCATCTTCATCATATTCACCCATCAAATGCAACATGTATGTTCCAGTATAGAGGAGAAACTGTCCAGTTATTTGTGCCATGTGGGATATCATCTGAAGCACCTTCCTACAAGAAAAGCCATTTGTTAATTAAAAAGTCAACAGGGAAACACAGTCCAAAGCTCTCCCATCCCCCGCACCTTAAGGATGAATTAGACACATTTAAGAATTCTCTTATTCCTCTTCGATTCTGAGAAGTCCATACATTCCATGGGCACTGACTGACAGAAAATTATTGATGTGTTGTAGACTTGGGCAGAACCAGAAAAGACATTTAACAAATCAGCCTGTCATCCTGTTAGGCCGTCTGGAAAACCATCACTCAAACTATCAGAGCACCACAGAAGATTTAACTACGCCTGAAAGCCCAGCAGCATTCCTGCAGCATGTATGAATGCTTACCTTCAGGCCAGGAAGCAAGAACACTGCGTGCACCCCAAAGCTACAGATCAGACTTTATTAGCACTGAAGCTGAGCAATTGCATTACACTGAGTGCCCAACAGCAAAACAAGTGAAGCCAGCCAAGTTTACGCTGTCCAAACTGCAAACATTAAGAATTCTGTTCACAGCTGTATCAGTTTTAACACATGAAGAATCAGCACTCAGATGTATCACAAGGTGGAATCTGTACAGATCCATAAATTGAGACCAGGCAAGTATCAGAAGTTTACAATACAGACTATGGATCCCCACAGGATATCTAAGGAATGGAGATAATCATATCTGAGTGTTCATTTATTCAATTTCATTGTATCTGTTTTTACCTTCCAGTCTCCACAAAACAATGGGGACAGTGCTGAGAAAGATATTTAAGCCTTGAAAGTAGGCCCTCAAACATGTGAGGCTGAAGCACTGGGGAAATAGTATACAAAAATCAGAACTACATCAAAATTGGAAGGGGATCAGTTTCTGAAGGTGCTAAAATGAGACTAGTGTCTCCTAGATTCCCCTTCTAGGGGATCTAGGGTGGAAGATTCTCTGAATTCCTATGTAAACAAGCAAGGGGGTTCACAATTGCAGTTTACTTCTCCTTTGGGCTCTAGCAGAGAACATAAAAGTTATCTTATAAATTCAGGGCTTTTTTTTTTTTTTTTTTCCCCTCAGTGTGCTAAAAGGTTTACAGTCCAAATCTAATGCTTCAAAACTGTTGATTACTCTGGGTACACAGAGTCTAGGAATCCTTTAAAGCACAGCATACCCTTTCCTATGCTTCCCACAGATATGCCACATTGATATGTCCTTCCCTTCACAAGACAGTGCACGCCAAAGGGCCACACAGTCACAAAGAAAGCTGCACCTGGTGCCAAGCTTTGAGCAGCTGCAGCGTGTCACTTGTACTTGAGACCAGTTGTCACTTAAGCCATGGAGGAAGTTATTTGTTGAACTGGACATTTGATCCTTTAGTTGGACAAGACAGGAGAAACTCTTAAGGGAAATGGACTAAACGGATCTGGCAGGTTTTGAGCCTCTCCCACCAATGAATAACTGCAGTATTTTAAAGTTGTTTCTCCTCACGCTCCACAGGTGGGCTCAGAGGGAGCACAGAGTTAGCAATTTAGAATTAATTAGCAGAGAATACACCGAGAATTGAACACCACGCGTCCCCCATTTAAATGGCAAGTTGAGAGAGACTGCCTCACTGTAGTATTTGAGAGCACCCCAGGTTCTTTCCTCCCCCTGCTCTTTGCTAGCGGTCTGTTTTCCCACTGTCACACTGGCACTTCCCCTTCCACTCTTTGTAACATAACAGTGTTCTAGAAGAATTTCAGAGCTATTTCAGCTGTTTGCCAGCACTGTTTCTTTCTCATCAGCTGCACTGTGTTGGAAGCAAGGCAGAACTGTCACTTAAAATTCTCTTTGACAGTGCAAGTTCTAGTGCTGACACTCATCTCCATAACAGCCAGAAATCAGTAGTTTGTTCTGGTTCAAGAGGCTGACAAACACAGGAACTGCAGGAGTGCAGCTGTTTGGAGGTAGGTGTTTGCTTTAAAGAGACCAGTAAGACAGTACTGTACATGAGTGTAGTGTACAGCTGCACAGTCACTGCTGTAGTCTCATCTACAGTTACACAGGACTATAGCATGAACGAAGCAAGGATTGCCTAGGCAGAGTGACAGAGGTCTGAGGCATGGAACGAGATCAGCATTACAGTGCTTAATATCTGTATCAATGAGTCTAGAGACTATTTGAAGACTTCATAGTAAAGATACGTTGTTTAGGTCAAGTAAAAACTTTGCTTACAGGTATGTAATCTACTCTGTACAGAGTAGATCTGGTCCTCAAGTAAGAGAATGCAGTAATTACAGTCTTGCATCTCAATCAGATTGGAATGAATCAGGTAGGGAAATTAAGGGCTGCTGCTTTAACAGCTGTCAAAAATCAAAGTACAGTATCTCTGTGAAGGAGTCTAAACTCAAGAAGTTTTCTTCATTTGGGGCAGCTGGTTTTGACATGGCACTGACTTTCACAGTTGAAAGCAGTAGGCAGGACAAGGTGCTGTCATTCTGCACTTGCATGAGATGGTGTTTCCAAACAGCCTGTTTTACCAAACCTACAATTCACTACAGCTCGGTCCTGTAGAAGTCAGTGGTCCTTGCTAGGCTTCTTAGAGGTGAATTTGACAGCCAGATTTAAGACCTCTGCCAGCAGATCTCCAATTCCTCCCTTATTTAATCTCACTGATGTTCCCCACCAGTGAGCTTTCTTCAGCACACTGTATTCCTTAAACAAGCCAAAGGAATCTGGGGAAATCCTCTAAGGAAAAGAGCATAGCTATACAGGACAGCTATTGAAGGAAGACTGGTTGGATGTAAGAATTAATAAAAAAATACAAAATCTATAAATATACTGGCTTCATAGAGCTGATAAGCAAACAGATGTTACATTAATGCCTATGCCTGATCAGTGATGGAAGCATACTTACCGCAATATACTTTTCGCTCCCATACACTTGATGTCATATGACACTGAGTAGATCTCATAGAAGGTTGCCTTCACATTTAAGCAGCCAATAAAATCCTTAGGGTTCAGCTTGTAGAGATCAAATGTGATGTTAGCTACTCCCATTTTCTTCTTTTGTCTTGCAGGGACAATTCCATTTCTGGTCTAATATGAAGAAGGAGACAGATCATACCATACACCAAGGAACTATAGAAAGACAGTTGTTAATGGTGCAGTTCTTTGGAGGCAGCTCACTCACTGCAGTCTTTGGAGTTAGTCTAAACAATCAGGACACTAAATTAACAGGATGTTAGATCCTTTCATTTAGGACAAAACACAGTACTGATCAGCAACCTTGGAGATGCTACAAAGAGTACATGTTTCTCAGGTAAAGTAAAAACTTTGCTTCTTGCAAAAACTGTCAAGTTCTCATTTCAAATCCTGGCTCAAAACACTTTTCCTTCTTGCTAAAGAATGACAGTAAGAGGGGATCACTATAGATTAGGCCTAGGTTTTAATACTGAATTTATGAGGAAAAAGGAGTATGAAAAGTCATTTTCAACTTGAAATTGACCTTCTTGCAGTCCTTTTTCAAGATTGGGCCATTTGCTTCAATAAGAAAAACAGTCAGCAAGACCCATATTTATAGAGACATCTAGTGGATACATGGGTTACTCTGCTCAGCACATTTGATTCAAGGTTCATATCCTAGCAGCTGCCAATCTGCCTTATGATTGCCATATGAAGCAATAAGGTTGTGCAAGACTGGAGCTTTTTATACTTGTCACCCCAGCGCTCAAATAGCACCACGATAAGTTAGTCCAAGTTAAACACTATGGTATATCATTAGCCAGCAATTTTATGCCTGATTTACTTTTGATAGCCTCTGAGCTCCCAACTCCAGCAACTGGAACCCCATCAACAAAAGTTTTGTACACACAGTTGATAGCATTATGTTCATCTCCCATTAGCAAACAACATCTGGATAAAGCATGACAGAGTTGGTGCTACCCTCCAAATGACACCTGAAGAGAGGCAGCGCTTACAGTAGTCCTGCTGCCACGCCAAGCAGGACATAAGGCAAAAGAGCAAGGTGGAGTCACATCCTGGTTACAATCCCTTTTTTGGACCCTTGGTGCTCAAGACCAAATGTGCAGGTTGATAATTCAGTGAGACACCTTAGGGAAGCTGCTCACACAACCTGCCCACACTGCAAAAGCCCAAACAGTGGGGCCACATGATTGAGCTATGCACGTACAAACAAACAGCAGGCCTGCCTATAACTGACTTAGCTCTGCACCTGGTAGAAGAAATTTTGACACTAGCTTTCTAGTAACAACTATTTCACTGAAGACACTAAGGAGTTTGATCATCTTATTAATGTACAGGTAAACTACACTCCTTCACTGAACTGGATAGAGTGCACACTATTAGAAAACCAAAGCTAGGCAATTTTAATAGTTCTTAAAATATGTCAAAGTATAAAGACCAATGTTAGGTTCTGATGACAACATTTAGCTATTTGCAAGATTAAATTCAGGCATTTTTCTAATCTTCACTAAGTTACTATTGCAAACAAGGCAAAACTTGTCTTACACTGCTTAATTTGGGCATTTTCCTGTCTAAAATTAACTTAAAAGACAGTATTTTTAGCTTAAGGCAATGGAAGTCCTTATTTCTTGTGTTACAGGACATCTCAAGAACTGTTATTCCTGGAGCTCCGTAAAAATAAGAGCTTTCACCTTTTTTTTTTTTTCCCCAGTTGTAACATGTCAGTTCATGGCAGATCCTTGTCAACAATTTATGTCCAAGCAAGAGACAATGAATGGAGTGACTAACAGGGAATTGGTACTTTCCCTTCTTTAGGGAAAGTTTTCTTCCTCTTCTCTCCTATTCCCAAGAACTTTAGAGCAATTGACCTCTTCCCATACACTTCTGTTCAAGTAGGAGGGAGACAGGGAGCACTTACTTGTGTCCATTTCTGTCCTTTCTCTAGAACCATGAAGTGTGTGTTATCATCCAGGGACTGAAAGAACTCTTCTGTGTCCACAACTGTGCCATCTTCTTCCAAAACCAGAGTAATCGTGCCAGCAGCTATAAGAAAGGCTTCCAAAGTCTGCAAAAAACAGCAGATGATAGAATTCAAATGGCAGTTCCATCAATAGGACTTTTTCCCGTCCTTTAATACTTAGACTGCTTATCTGCTGCATTCTCCTGAACTTCCCCTCTAGCGACATTCAGAAGAACACAATTCTGTGGGTTGCCTTCCTGGGATACTGTACTTCAGTATAAATTTCAGCCAGAGTGGGAATGTTTGCTGTACCTTGCTGATGAGTTCTTGCAGGCTGCTTGCAACAATTCCTTTCCGGCTGCTTCTGGAGGCATTCGATACACGGAAAGGTCTCCCTGCAGGCATGAGGGGAGGGAACAGGGTCTGTTTTGTTGCTGCTCCCACAGACGCTCCCACAGATACCAAAGATCTAAGATAAATAAAAATTCAGGGTAGTTATAAGAATACGTCAAGTACTGTGAGAAGGATGACTGTTGAGTTCAGTACATAAGCACATTAAACAAGTAATTCAGAGATCACGGCACACTTGCAGAGCTTGCTCTCACAAGCAAATACTACATAGCCCTATAGGAAGCTGTCTCTGAATCCTCTCTTGCCAGTGACATTGGAAAACCCTTCTCCAATGAACACCATCTCAAGCAGATGTGGGCCAAGTTGCTGCTCAGTTCAGCTGATGTCAAGGTTGCAGCGAGGTCAAGAGGTTTTAACACTATAGTGAATTAGAAAGGCAGCGGCTCTTACTGAATTCAGCCATAGACATCACTCTATTTACCTTCAAGACAAACACTCGGAGGGTACACAAGACTAATTTTGACTGTGCATTAAGATGAGTTTCCTTTATGAAGACTGAACATATTAGCCATATTCAAAACACAGAGCTGGAATTCAAGTGGAACTTTCTGATAGCTACGCTTGATTTGCAAATTGCGAAAGTGTTTATAAATACCCACAGAACTTCATTTAGCTTTGAAAATATCATAATAAGGCTTATTCACGCCCTAACATATCAAAGGAAGTCAAAGGCAATGAAGATCAAAGAAACTGGGAGCCTGCTCCAGTGCTGAGAGGCTTAAAGAACTGAAACGGAATGCCAAAAACCACCACCTGGAAGACTGATTTCCAGCAGTCATGCCTTTTCCACATCTCTTACGTGGTCTTTAGACAGACTTTCAGGATACACAGAAAGTCACTTTGGTGACTAGCTAGTGAGAGCTTCACTCATTAACTTTTTCCTGCTCTCATTCTGAACCATTGTTTCACAAGTCTTTGGGATATTACTTTTCTGGATTTTGCTGTTACCTATCTTTTGGGCTGGTGAGTTTCATTCCCACATTTCAGTGACATGCACACTAAGGTGTTTCTTTTCCTAAAAAACTAATAAGCATTACTGGAGCTCTCATTTATTTTTAAAGGAGGGTGATGTTCAAGTGTTATTTCGAGCTGAACCTAATAGCTTCTAGGTAGTACTGTCTGAGCTCTGTCTCCTCTGGCTTTCACCAAATATACACATGGCATAACAGAGCGGGTACGCATGAACACTCAGTAAAGGTTGTAGAAACCAGATTAAAAAGCTAAGTGTTTCCTTCCTGAAGGAGGACAAGATGACAACATAGCATTGATGACGGCATTAACTACCTCTCCATAGAAGAAAAATGTGCTAGTACAGGGTGTGTGTTAATCTCTACACTTGACTCCATGAGCAGTTCCCCAATCACCCTGTCAGGCTGCAAGCAGTTCCCAACCTGAATCACTCCAATCTACTCCTTGAGTATGAAGTGCATCCATCTACCTCCGCATCGCTGGGCACCTACATGCTGGAAGTGCAATACTCAAGATTCAAGACACAGCACTTTTAGAGCTAGCACAGCCCATCCCCTCTCCACACATATGAAAACTCTTGCGTAAATAGTCGCTTGAGTAATATATATAGCAATAGTACCAAGTTGTGTTTTTTTTTGTGAATATCAGTCCTGTTCTCTTTCATTACTTAAGCCTTGTTATTATTCCTAGAAGACAAAGCATAAGGAAAGAAGTCAAATCACATATCCTGATGCAGAAGCAATAGCACTGGGGACACAACTTGAGGACTTGAGATCTTTCGGGAGCAAGGGTTCATCTCAGGCACCAGCAGAGCCAAATACATGCCATGCTTGTAGCTCTGAAGAGCCTTCCTCTGGGCTAAAGAACCACACATGACCTCACACTGCTGTCTAATTCTACCAGAGGGGAAAAAAAAAAAGAAAAAAAAAAAAAAAGGTTTGTAAACCAGGACTTATTTTTAGCTCCAGATTGCCACCTCACAGCAATCCAGGACTCAGGTAGCTCGTTGAGGCTGATGCTGTTTCACCCATGTGCTCCAGCATTATCCAGCTGGCCCTAGCTCAAGAGGGACCTGCAGATGCTGCCCCAAGCACTCAGCGCAGCACCAGGGCTGATGAGACAGATTAATTTGCTTTTTTTTTTTTTTTCTTGGAGGCAAAGCCAGGGATTAAAGCCTGCCCTGAGCCCTGGACACTAATTTCACTTGTTATCTCTACTTGCAATATATCTCATATGTTTGTCTAAGAACATGGTGCAATGGTCTTCGGGAACGTTGCACAATATGCAGGGCTTCAGAATAAGGCACAGTATGATTTGTAGGTTAGAGTTCACAGACAAATGACGGTGACAACAACAACAAAGCCAAGAAAAAAAAAAAAAAAAGCCAGAAATCAGAGAGGAGACTTTGACTTCTGTCAGATCACAGTCGGTTCCACTGCTAAAACCTAAGATCCCAGAAGAGGGTCTATTCCCAGGGCGCTCGTGAGGCACACCGCCGGACCTCCCCCCATGCAGCACACCTGAAATGCGAACACAGACACGGCACCACCGCCGTGCTGTCAGCCGGTACGAGCTATAAACACACGTGCAGAGAAAGCGCCCGCACCCGCACGGAACCGCGAGCCGGGCACCGACTCCCACCCCGGACCGGTAGGGACGCGGCCCCGGTCGCACACGCTCACTCACCTCAGCACCGAGCCCACGCAGTCCCGCGCCACCTCCATGGCCCAACCCGGCCGTGCCGCGAGGCAGCTCCCGCCGCCACACTTAAGCGGGAGCGGAGCTGCTCCGCCCCTCCGCCCGGCCCAGGGGCGGCCCCGGCAGGGACGGGGGCGCGGGCCGCGCTGAGTCCCGCTGGTTTGGCAGCCGTGGCGTTGGTTCGGCGTACCGGTAAGTGCGAGGCAAAGTGCCGGAGATGGAAGGTGTTTTTTGTTAAGGCTTACTTAAAAAAAGATTAGGAGCGATTTCTTGTTTCGTGTACAACTGATTGGCAGCTAATAGAGCAACAGCAGGAGCCAATCTCATTTGAAGCCTTTAAGCATTAGAGCAAATCAACAGATTAAACTGCTTCAGCTTCTGATTTTAGAGCCTGGGAATAAGCTTACAGCTTGGATTAATGTGTGTAGTGGCTTCAGAGGAGGCGTTTAGCCTTCCTGGGGCCAAGGAGCAGCAACTTGTGGTTACAGAGCAGGTTCAAGTGCAGTATTTCCTTTTAACGTTGGCCTCTGGGCCAACATAAAGTATTTCTCAGCTCAAAACCACACAGATAAAACAGCATGGGAGCCCCAGGGCTGGCGCTGCGCAATGCACTGATGCAGGGCTAGCAGCTCCCTGTTACTGCCCATCAGAGGTGACAACCCAGAGGTCTCCAGGTCCTAGGTTACAGCTGGCTCACCCAGTGGCCAGGATCGCTCTCTGGCCCAGCCTGTGCAACACAGAAGAACCACTCATCATATTTCCTCGCTTTCTGGTCTTCTTTCAGCACTCAGCCAGACCTGGCTGGATGTCCTCAAACCTCAGCATTGGAACCCTTATCAGCTCTAAAACAAACCTGTTAACCTAAGGCAAATAATCCGCTTTGCTTGTTTTAGTTGTTTTTTTTTTTTTTTTTGAAGCTTGTCTTTCCAACTCAGAAGGAGTAAACTTCCCCCTGCCCCAGTAACAAAGCTCAGACCAACAGCCTTCCCACTATGAACTGAGCTCAGGCTTTTATTTCTTCCTATTCAGGCCACTTAGGGCTTACAGGTGTGAGGGTATCCTTCTCCATGTTAACCCCTTCTTTTCCTGTGCTCTAATACATGTTGCTCAGATTAGATACTAGGAGGAAATTCTCTACTCAGAGGGCAGTGAAGCATTGGCACAGCTGCCCAGAAAAGCTGTGGTGCCCCATCCCTGGAGGTGCTCAAGGCCAGGTGGGATGAGGCCCTGGACAGCTGAGCTGGTGATCCTTGGCACAACCAAAATTTTTTGTGCAGAGTGGGGCATTTATGAGGTGTTGTTTTGTTTGTTTATTTTTCTTCCAGTACCCCTAAACAAGCAGCAATAAAACTATCAAATGGGAAAAATCATTGTCATGGGAGCTGGGCTCCTCAGCACTGAGGTATCTTGGAGCACCAGCAAGGACATCATCATACAGATAAGATCCAAAGCATGTGCAATGCTAATTATATAGCGAAAATGTTTCTGATGAATGTTGTCTATAAACAACTACAGCAGGTACTGTAGATTGTCCTGACTGTCTCTCCTAGATAGGCAGTGGAAGGATTTACTCCATATGGAGTACCTCCAGTGGGGCAGGTTCTGATTCCATGATTTGATTTGCCTCGTTGGAGAAAAATCTCAGTATGCAATGCTATGGTTTCTGGTGGGCTATAAAGAGGGCTTCTACTGCATTGTTACCAGTGCTTCCAGAGGGCTGGATGTTATTTACTTTTTTAATTAAGCACAGGAGTTTTACAAAGAAACACAGTTGTGTTTTTAAACTGCAGTATGTTGGACATGACTGTGGTACAGAAAATGGAGGAAATAACTACCTTATCTAAAAGAAATCTTTTGGATTTATTTCTGGCTAGTGAAAAGAACTAAACTTAGAATGTGGCAGTACAACTGAGATTGTGAAATGACAAGGGAACAGCAGTACAGATGAAATGCCCTTCAACAAAACAGACATAAGAAGTCTCTCAGGACTGTGGAACAAGACCATGTGGGATAAGCCTGAGGTTGAAGAAACTGTCATTTTCTTAAGGAAACATTATTGGTGGGATCAATATATTATGATGGAGGAAAAGATGATGGAGAAGAAATGAAAGAGGTTAAGCTGGTCAAATAGTGAACTGAAACTTAATGAGGAATCAAGTAGAAAGAAGAAACCAGTCTTGCTAAGGAAGAGTAACAAACGGTAGCAGGAGCTTTGGCTCAGGTACATAAAAAGAATGAAATATTGTTAAAAACAGACTTGGTGAGATAACATTCAGTATAGGAACATTAACTGTAAGGAAAGCCAAGACAGAATCGTCCCGCTGTTTCAGTGGGAGAGAAAACCAACTAATCGTAAGCTGAGGTAAGGAGACCAAAATACTCAGCAAGGTTGTGCTCTAGCCTTCACTGTAAACATTAATCATGCAGGGGACAAAGTACACAGATGGTATGAAGGGAGTGAACACTGGAGGTGGAGTTCAGTAAGTAATTGTGCTGATCGATCCCACTGACTGCATTTCTGCCCGGCTGCCCCTTGGCTGGGTGCAGCAGCTGACGCCATACATCTCATTTGTGCGCCCTGGTTCAAGTTGAACAAGTTTGCTTGACCCACTTCTCACAGTAATCGTATCATTATGAAAAAAAAGTCTGAATGTGCCATGTTTTACCAACAGCGAGTTCATGGAATCATAGAATGCTTAGAGTTGGAAGGGAACCTAAAAGGCCATCTAGTCCAACTGCCCTGCAGTGAACAGGGACGCCTACAGCTCTGTCAGGTTGCTCAGGGCCCCTCCAGCCTAACCTTGCATGTCTCGGTTTGGAGCATCCACCACCTCTCTGGGCATGTAATATCAGAGCAGGTTTTCAGGAAAATTGCTGACAAATCACAACAGACACAGAGTAAAGCAGATTGCAGATCCAGAAAACGTGGTGTGTGGGCTGTGTAGCTCGGGAAATAGGAGGAGTGGGTGGAGAGGTGAATCACAGGCTTTGGTCATGTCAGAGAGTGCAGCAAAGCATCATGTGTATTGCTGATTAACCCGTAGGAATGGAGAATAAAACTATACATTAGGAAACATTTTGACTGGGGGACTGATAGGTGTGAGGATCAGTTTCCTGCTGAAAGTGTGCAGTCGGTCACACACAAGCATTGCTTTGGGCAGCGTTCAGGTGACACAAGGGACAAATCAGGAACCCAAGGATCAATTTGGACATTTCTTCTATTTCCTCAAGGCTCTGATAAATTATGTGAGTGAGATCAAGGCAGAATAAGAAGTTTCTGTATCCGACCAACCTTAGTCTGAGAGGGGAGTGCAGGAAGTAAACAGTGTGTTAACAGCAGCATTAGGAACAAAGATAGCAGATTACAAGGGTCAGCTTAGATTTGCAAAAGCCGACCTTTTGTGCAGCCTTTCTGCCCTTTCCTGTTTTTGCTAAGCAATCCTTTGGTCTGATTTCTGCAAGAAGCACTCCTGAGACTCTCCTTAAGTAAACTCAATTCTTTCTTATTGCTTTCATGCAGACCCAGCATTCTATTCTCTACTTTGCACACAAAATATCTGTATTAATTTCTAAACTGCTCTTACTATTCAGTGGATTCCTGCCTGTGTTGCCTCTGGCTTTGGTTTATTTCTGCCAGGCCACATGCATGATATAGGGTTATATGATAAAGACATTGCTCATTCTCAGTATGCTTTGAGATAAGACTGTGCAGTAGATGCTCTCATGATGTTACTTTTTACCATTTTCTGTAGTTTTCAAATCTCTGTTGATAAAGCCTTAACGCGTAATGCCCAACACATCCGTGGGAGTCACGGGGTTTTTATTAGCTGTACAGGAGGGAACGAGGCTCCTCCTGACGGTCATCTTGCTGCTCTGCAACACTATGCAGAAAAAGATGGAGGATTATTATTATTATTTTTTTTTTTTTTTGCACCAAATAAAATCCTGTGTAATTGCCTGGAAACGGTTCTATGGTCTGCAAAGATTCCGATTCTGAAAGCCTCTTTTGAACAACAGCCTAACCCTTTGCTTCACTGAACCACGTGGCCCAGAAAAAAAAAGCCCTTTGTTGTGAGATTTCTTGGGTGGGTATTTTGCTTTGTTTTTTCTTTGAAGTTGTCGATAATTTTAACAATAGCATCAAGATGGTGTTGATGGATGGGCACATGCACTGTACATGGGGAAAAAGACCCTACCAAGAATATTTCAGAGGTGTGACGTTTGTCAAACACGTGCTTATATGTGGGTGTTTGATAGTTAGATAGGTTGTTAGGATTGGAAGGTGGGACTTTGCCCTGACTGCCCCCCTTGGCAGTGCTGTGGATGTGAACGAATTGCAGATATCTGTGGGCAGCATTTGGCTGAAAGCTGACTCATGGGGAGCTGTATGATGACGGTGCTAACAAAAAGCAAAAATTTTGCCCGTAAGATTTATTACTGGAGATAATGTACTGACTATTAATATTTATTTATTGTTGGATTGCAAGGATATTCTGAAATGCTTTATTTTATATTTCAAAAGTTGCAATTGCCAGAAGATATAAGCTCTAAATAAGACTGAATAGCTAATAGAAATGCTTCTGTTTCTAACATCTCTACAGTTTAGTGATACTCCCTCTAGGAAGAAAAGTGAACCTCATTCAGACAGAAACATGACTTTTCATTTCATAAGCTTTAAATTTTACTTTACAAAACGAGAGGCGATCAAGCATGGAAATGTCCCATGGTGTACAGCTATGTTATGATTTTTATGGCAGACCTTGAAGAAGTTCAAGACTCCAGGAAACACTTCAGAGCTATTAATCCTCCAAACTCAACTGTGAGCTCAAGGTTTCCTGGTAGCTGCACTAATTAATTTTAAAAAAGGATATTTTAAAATATCTTATTGGGAAAGGAATGTCTGTATTTTACATCTTATAGTACATGTTTTAAAAGTTTAATTAAAAATATGTATATTTTTGTCTTCTCTTTTTGTAAAAAGAAATGTTAAGATCAAGGCAGTAGTAGCCAGACAGCTTAATGGGTGATCTTCCTAAGGGTCCCACTGCTTTCAAACCAATGTTTTTCAG